TATAAAGAGATCAATCCTCTCTCCCCCATACCTTAGATGAATGAAGGTGATGAGTAAGAGGAAAGAAAAGTTTTGGGACTCTTGTATAGTGATGGAAGAAGAAAGAAGATGATAAAGGTTGTTTGATGGCAGAGGAAGAAGATAATTGCCTGAATTTTGATGATAAGGTATTTTGACAATTCACCTTTACTAAGATTTTCAATCAACTCCTTATAAACACAATTCCATCTATGATTTACATTTGATCATATACAGTAAAAAAATATATTTGAAACTATTATACTATCAAATAACATTAAAACCTTTTACTTTTAGAATATAAAACTTTTTGAAAATGTTTTTTAAAAAAATGTATAAAAGTTAAATATATTTATAATAACTTTCTAAGGGTATTTAAAATTTAGAGGCATGTAAAAATTCAATGATGACATAATAAACATTGAAACCAAAAAATAAGATGATCAAGGTTATCAATAGCGGATAACGGTCTATAATAGTGAGGCCGAAAATCCTTTATAATTCTATGGCGGATGCCATGGTGGACGATATATATATATATAAACACACACACAAAGGAAACAACAAAATAATAAATAGCAAGCAACAAAACAAAATTAAAAGCAACATAATATCAACTTAAATACTTAAATATCATAACAACAATAACATAATTCATTAAGTCTCATAACATAATTGATTAAAACACAAAAAAACATAGAAAAACAAGAGTACAAGAAGCATTTTTTTTAACCTAATCATCCTCTTCATCGTCATTCTCCTTCTTTTCTTCAATGTAATCATTCTCTTCATTGAATGTCAAAAGGGCATAGCCTTCATCTTCTTCACCTTCTAAATTGTCAAAGTTAATATTTGGCAATTCTTCCCCTAATTCCTCACTAATATCTTCTGAATTTTCTTCAACAACTTCAGCCACTTTTCCTTTTCCTTTTCTAGTTGAAGAAGACACTCATTTGCCTTTTTTAGAAACTTTTTGAGATGATGCTCCTTCCCCACTTGGAGGTTGCTTCCTTTGTTACATCATAAACTTGATTCAAGTAAGTGGATCATTTCCACCAAAAACTCTCTCATTTAGAGCTTCAACTTTATCATCATCATCCCCATCCATCTCTCCAACGAGTCATTCATTACATTCATCAATATCATTAAGGCTAATGGGATCAACATCATCCTTAAGGTTGTATCTTTGCACGAGTGCTTGATTGTATTTAACATAGACCAAGTCGTGTAATTTTTTATGATCAAGCCTATTCCTCCTCTTAGTATGAATTTGCAACATTAAGTTAAATAATTAAGCAAACATTTTAAAATATTTGGAACTAATAAGACTCTTCAAAAGCAAATTAATTACTTGCTCAAAGACGCTCCAATTACGTTCACAATCGGATGAACTATAGGTCGAGCTCAATATCTTTATGGCTAGTTGTTGTAAATTGGGGGTTGATGAACCATAAAGTCTCCACCAGGGAGCTATAAAGTCAAAAGAAAGTGTGTTAAACAAGGAACAATTAGTAGAATAGAAGTTTAAAACTCTTAAAGGTTTAGTTTCTAACCTGGTGAAACCTTTTTTCTCATTGTTATAGCAAGCTTAGTCCCAAATAGTTCTCCTATAACTTTATAAGTTTGTAGCTCCATCATGATTTTTTGCTCCACTTGCAAATCTCCTACCAACTTATTCATGCTTGGATAAAACCCTCTTATAATCTCACTATCAAATTCTATTTGAAGGTTGTCATAAAACATCTATGGATTCAAAAAATGACAAGATGCATGTAATGGGCGATGAAGTTGAACATCCCATCTTCTATCAATAATTTCAAACACAACATTATATTTGGTCTCACTGTTATTGAAAAACTCCATAATAGCCTCCTTTGCCTTAGCCATAGCTTCATATATATAGATGATAGTTGGCTTTTTCTCACCATCAACAAACCTAAGTACTTTTACAAGAGGCGCCATGACTTTAAGTATGTACACTACATTCCTCCAAAAAGAAGACATTAAAACAGTTTTACATGCTTCTCTTCTTGTTTCCTTTGATAACTTGTTTGAATTCCATTCATCCGAAAAAAACATCTTTCTTAAATTTGATTTTTCTTGGTGGATCCTTTCCAAAGAAAGAAAAGATGTTGCAAATCGAGTCACCGCATGCCTCACTAGCTCCCTTTTGTTTGTATAAAACCTTAACAAACTTAGGGTGCTTGAATGGCTATAAATGAAGCCAACAAGAGAAATTTCTTGCTAAATTGTTTTTTTGATATTGGGAAGCTTCCCAATGTCCTCCAACATTAAATCTATGCAATGGGCTGCATGTGGAGTCCAAAAAATTTTCTTCTTTTTGCCTCCAACATCTTGCCAGCAAGAACATAATTACTCCTATTGTCCGTGATGACTTGGACAACTTTTTCCTCCCTAATATCCTCTACAATAGAGTCTAGTAATTCAAATAGCTTCTCTTCGGTCTTCACAAAATTAGACCCATTAATAGATTTGATAAACATTGTCCCTATAGAAGAGTTCACCAAAAAATTAATAATGCATCTTTGCTTCTTGTCCATCCAAGCATCTGACATGATGGAACATCCAAAACTAGCCCAATGTTCCTTAAAAATCTTCATCAATTTTTCAATATACTCCATCTCTTTTTGGAGAAGTGGAACTCTTATCTCATGATAAGATGGAGGTTGCAAATGCGGTCCAAAAGACCCAATAGCTGCAACCATATCATGAAAGCTTTCTAATTTGATCATGTTAAAAGATAGTCCAATTTGATACAAAAACCAGGCTATATATTGGTGGACCCTTGCTGTAGCTTACTTGTCACAACTCTCCCTTATACTTATTTTCTTCAATTTCTCCTTCTTGTTTTTTGCAATTATTGTTTTCAGACGTTTACAATAAAGGTCAATAAGCCCCTTTTTCATAGCAACCTTCTTCCTTTCATTGGCCCCAAGTGTCTCGACTTCTAATTCTCTTAAATCCCCCTCCAATGTATAATCTTCACTACCAAGAGTCACATCTTCCATTATTTTTTGGCATGACTCACTTTCTTTCATCTTCTTATTTTCCTCAAGTGCTCACAACTCATCTTTAAGCTCTTGTGGAACACTTTGACAAGGTGCAACATTTCCCTTCTTTCCCATTAGATGTTGCTTTGCTCTTGTAATTCCTCCTTTCATGATTTTTTTTTTACAATAATTGTAGGCAATTTCATTGGCATCTTTCTCTTTGGTAGGATGACAATGTTTACATCCTATGTCTGTTCTCTTAACAGAGTTTGAGGATGTTTGACTTTTCCTTAGAATTAAATTACTAGACATTGTCCTAAAAATAAGAAAAAGAAAAATAATAAAATAGGCACTCAATATTAGTTTAGAATTTAGAACAAAATAGGAATTTAAATTGACCTAATTGGTAGAAGAATTAGGATTAAAAAAATTGCTGTTGTAGATACAGCAACGAACTCATTAAGAAAGGACTTCAAAGAGTAGGAAAAACTAAAAGAAGAAGGAGGATTAAAACTGGAAAAAAAAGGAGTAGGAGGATTAAAACTGAAGAAAAAAAAAGGATTACAACTGGAAAAAAAAAACCTATTCAATTTTAAGTTTGGCTATGGTCGTCGAAGTAGCTTGTCGAAGTGCTGGGCCACCACGGTTCAAGTTGCCGGCTAGAAAGGGGACCCAGGGGTGGTGAACGAAGGTGATTAAGGGTAGTTTCGACTTCCATAAGTGTTGTTCGTGTCGTGGTTTCCCGTCGGAGTGTTGGACCACCGCGGTTTAGGTCGTCGACCGAAAAGGTGACTGGCAAGTGATGGGCAACAACGGAGGAACGTCATCAGAGATCATTGATAGATTTAAATGGAGAGTAGTGGGGGCACTTGCCCCCACTACCATTTGATATAGACATTTTTTTAATAAAAAAATAATATATTTTAAAAAATAAAAGTTATATTCTAATAAAATAAACATATATGTTTAAATTATCGTATGTATAAAATATACATTCGTGGGAGATATTCATTTATTTGATATCTCTTAAACTTTCAAAGGAAATTAATTCTCATATGTGATAAAGAATATTCCTTAATAATGAATTAATTTAAAAAAAATAATTATGATATATATATATATATATTAATGCTCACACATATAATGTAATATATTTAAAAAAATTAATTTTTGATAAAATAAAATTTACAATATGTATGTTTATCTTTTGTGCTTTATATTTATTGTGTACGTTGATTAACAAAATCAAAATAGTAAGATTGTATATGTTAATTAAAAAAATCAAAATAGGAAATATTGAAATATTTATGTTCTATTTAAAAATTTTATTATAAAAATATATTTTAAAATAAATTATCATCTAAAAATTTGTATTAAATATTAAAAAATTATGTATATCATAAATAAATTAAATTTGATTTTTATAAAATTTTACATATTTATTTTTATATTTTTATTAATGCTAAATTATTATAAAATAAGTCTTTAAGATTGTAGTTCTACTTTGACTTAATTTATTTTTATCTTTAATTATAATCATATATATAAAAACTTGTAAAAAATAATTGATATATTTATACTTTTAAAAATTATATGTAAAATTTTTAATACTACAAATATATTAATAAATATTGTTTCTATTATTAATAAATATTGTTTCCATTATCTAAAATTGCATGGGTGGATGGCTATCACGACTTTGTTCTCACTCTCGAACCCCAAAATCATTAGGACACTCAAATTGGGTCTAGGTCGAAGCCCAAAAATGACCCCAAAAACCCTAGATCCATTATATCCTTCATAATGTAAGGGGTCAAAATGACCATGGCACCCGCCACGAGAAAATGGCGGACGGCACCACAAAATGCCATATAGGCATATAGCAGATGGCAAACCACAGAGAGACCCAAAACCACCCGCCATTCCGTTATAACGGTTTCTTTTACAACATTCAAGACGACTAAATAATAATAATAGCAAACATAATAAAACAGAGCATGTAAAAGCCTTGTTTGTAACATTGTAAGCTCAAATTTCAACATCAAAGCTGTTGTCCATCAAGACAAAAATGCCTAAACATCGCTAATACTAATAACCAAAAATCTATAGTGTCTAGTCCGATGGCCCATGCACAATAGGTTTGATTTTGTTCCTAAAACTATTTTTCTCCGTAATTTAACATTCTGCAAAATTAAATTGAAGTCAACTTCATCGGTAAGACCACCTCCAATCATCATCCGCATCCTCAACATCATGACTACCAGCACCTTCGTATTCATCAAAATCCTCATCATATAAGGGATCCACGTCATGTTTGAAAAAACTATGATGTTCTATATCTGCATCTGATGATTCATTACTAATATCGTCATGTTCACGTTCTGATTCACTCTCAGAATCTTCATTCTCAGAGTCTTCAACCTCTTCAGAAATTTCATCCGGATAATCATTCAGTGGATTGTTTTCAGCTACAGCGACCAAAAGTAATGAATGTTTTAATCATTTACAATTTTACATTATAAAGAATAATGATGAGAAAAGATAAACTAGCTAATACCATTTGAGTCATCAGATTCATATTCTGAATCATCTGGTCCATCATAATAGTCCTCCTCCTCGTCAACTTGAACTCTGACGCAAATCAAACAACATTGTGAAGAAGAAAATAAGAAACCTAATTGAACATGTACTGACAAAATAATACTTACAATGGATAAGAAGATGAAGAATCGTCAATGTTTATGTCCATCTCATCCTTCACAGTGTAGAGGTCATACACATAATTCTCTGTGTGTTCACACAACACAATACATTGCAGCAAATTAAATTGAATTGGTTTAAACAAATAAAACAAATAAGTAGCAAATACTGCATAAAAAAACATTTATTGAAGTGTTGACAACAACAATAACATGTCACAAGATAACTCTAAAATATAATTTGTCTAAAATCAACAAGAAAAAGAAAATGTGTTTGCCTCCACTCATCTGTCAGTTATTTAAATAAAACAAGTACAGTTTAGCATTTTAATGGTAATTAGCAACTAAATAACCACCTTCTTTAGAATGACCAACCAAATGAGCAATCAAATCAGCTTCAACCTCTGTAGCCGCATTAGGAATAAACTCTCTCAGTAAAGGGAGATAACTAGACAAAAGTCTTTGATCCTCCAATGACATTTCTCTGCATTAATCACATGGAAAGTGGTTTACTATGATAGTTGTCCAAACATAGGAAAACAAAAACTCTGATTGAACTGTTGTTAAATGGATGCCATGGCAGAATGGTCTCATACATATGATGGACCATGGCACTGTCATTCTCATGGTGCCCACAATTCAGGTGGTGGTTATGGTGGAAATAACCTGCACTAAGTGAAAACAAAGGATGGGTCCAGTTAACCCAACCCGTTTTCATCACATAAACCCATGACCCAAGTTTTTTTTGGAACCCTAAATAATAAAAAGAATCGTTGACTACTTTAGCTGCCCTAAATAACAAAACACTCACCCACCTCTTCAGCTGTTTTACTCTACCACTCCATTTTCACTCAAGTCTTCTTCCTCTCTTCCATCTCTGGTAGCAGAGACCTCCAACTCTGGCAACTCACGTCTGTGTTCTGTTTTTCTCCCTCTGTATACCCCTTTTATATTCCCTTTCTATTTTCTGTTTCAATTCTTGTCTATTTTTTCCTTCTCTTCTCTGTTTTACTCTTCCCATATATCTTTTCCAACATTTTAATTCTGTTACTATTGTTTTCTTTTCCCTCTTATCCCCACAGTTTGTTTTTATTCTGTAACCATGTTCTCTTACTCTCACAACGCCCTCTTGTTCTATTATTCTCATCTCTATGCCAACTGCTAAGTGATTCTCCTATTGGTTGGTCTGAGCAGTGGTTCTCTAGTCCTTTGTAACAATGTCATGTGAAGACCAAGCTTCATCCCACTAATAATTGTTTTTTATTAGATTCTGCAGTTTTGTGGTATTATATATATATACACACACACACACACACACATTTTTACTGTAGCTACCATGCTTCCACCATAGGCCAAGAGATGCCATCCACCATATTTTTATGGAAGATTTTTTCCTTGCTGCCATTAACTGCCATCTTCCATTAACAACATTATGATGGAAATACTTACTCCTGTTGCACTTCCTTATTTTTTCCTTCATTGTCAACACGGACAATGTCATAGAGGTGGCATATTTCTTGTAATGCTTTATCATGCGCTGTCCCTTTGTTTCCCTTCCTGCTTTTCCATATTTGTTCAAAGCGGGCATCTTTTGCCAAAGACTGGAAGAAAGATAAAAAAGATATATAATTTTGCCACAAGGAAACTTTTTACAGAGATAATTTTCATGTTTGTGTTGTACTCCCAAGCCAATTATTTTTGACGAATTATATAATTGAAATATGTTTACTCCTAGCAAAAATCTAGTGCCATGTCCATAAGCAAACATGTACCTATTGTCTTCCCAACAAATTTTTCTAACAAAATACAGACTGCTAAAAGGTACGTTATGTAAGGAACAACTCTTAGTGAGTTAATTAAAATCAAGCAGGTCGGTTGGTGATTCAGGATGACCACAAGTAAACCATGCTAGGTATAAAAGCTAAAGAAGCAGCAATATGAGATCAACATTAGTTCAATTATGATTTAAGATAGATGGTGCAACATCAGTTTGAGGAGAGATTATTATAAAGAAGATAATTTCAAAATATGAAAGGGGATAGGGGCTTAGGAGGTAGGGGACATACAGCAAAGACAAGATTTTGAAATAAAGTGGGGAATTAAGGTCAAGTTAATATAGTAAAAAGCTACTAGGAAAATCAACTGAAATGAAATTCTTCAGCGCAACTGATGAAAGAGAAAGAAACAGAAAACGAAAAAGGAACAGTTCAAAAACCAATCAGAGCAACCATACAAAACTTCAGAGAGGGGGTTGTAAGATGAAAGTATTACAAAAGGATATAAGAAATTATGCAAGGGCATGTCCATGTGTATAGAAAGAGAAGCAACTTCAATACAATTTCCAATAGGTTTAAGAATCAAGTATATATAGAATCAAGTATATATAGCCATCCTTTAAGAAAGAGCATTATGGGCATCGAAAGATAAGCACATTCACAAATATGAGTAACATAAGTCATGGATGATGAAACAAACCTCTTTTTCTCGTTTAGCTTTAAATAATAGCTGATCTTGCTTCTGCAGACATTAAAAGTAGGAAATGTTGAAAGACAAAATATGATTAGAAATTAGAAGTAAAAAAAATACAATTAGGGTGAGAAGTTATTTGGTAACTAAGCATGAATAAGCACATGTAATTTTGTGATGCTGCACAAGCAGATAGATGAGAGAGGGGGGAGAAGGGAAGAAGAATCGGCTTACATTATCCCTTTTGAAGAAGTTCTTTCTTTCCTCAATTTTGGACTTGGAACTAGATGCACCACTGAAACCAGGATCCTTAAGAAACAGTCAATTGATAAGGGTACTTTTGTATCCAGTTTATCAATGATGATTATAAATTGTCACCTATTGAGAAGACCAACTCCATATACAGAAATAACAGATGTTGAAAATGGATAACAAAGTGACTTGGATGAGAAAGCATTAGACCAAAAATACACATCATGATGCTACTCTATCATAAGGAGAAAGAATCAGTCGCCACCATCTAGGTGGGTAACTTACCACAAAGGATTGCACGATATCCAAGGTGACCTCAGAACTGCTTATTGTCTCCACATGTTGCACAAAAACCTTCTTGTTATGAAATTCTACTAAAGAAGAGAAAAATATATATCAAGAGTCAGCAGTATTAAACATGCAGTCAATGAAAAGAAAAAAAAAATTCCAGCAGTTTCCCAGCTCTTCATTATGTCACTAATCATCTCAACTCTAGCAATAATTATTCATATTTGCTCCATGTGAGTCATTTGACACCCTTATTTTGGTAGCAGCATTGCATCATGACAACTTTGTTTTCTCAAATGCAAAAAATATTGAAAGAAATCCACATTACAGGAAAAAAAACAAAATTTTAATGAAATAGACTCAATCTATAACACTTGAAACTGGAAGCAAAATACTAATCAAGGGAGGGCAGGCTTTGGTGGTCTTATCTGGGGGAAGTGGGTGAATAGCTCATGGATTTTGTGGGTTTCAATGCTTCATGCAGAACTAATGCTAATTCAACAGGTTCAATCTGCAAACTGTGTTATTCATCATTATGGATTAAAGGTCTAGGTGAGTTTTCTCTGAAACCTACCATGTGAAGCCTCCCACAGACACAGGAAATCGTTATTAACTGATAGTATAAAGGTTGTTTTTATTTTTTTTCCCCCTTTCTTCCATAAAACAATGCTAGCTAAATAACTTCACATATCAAACCCTTATCAGCTAAACCACAAGGAAACATCATATTTCTAATTCTCTCTTTTTTTTGGTAATCATAGTATTAATACGAAATATCCACCATCAAAAACACTGTTTAATCTCTGCCGGGAACGGTAAGCACCCGTAATGTGAGTATTCCCCTTCCAACATAATCTATTCCATACCCAATACACAATAAAACATATAGTACCCATAAGTTTATCAAATAAGCTAATACAAAGATTAAACCCTCATTAATTGGGAAATACACATTCATTAAATGCTATTCATAATTCTTGCAACAGACACATTAAGCTGCGTAGAAGTATGTAGAGGCCCCAAAGCAAACAAATAAGTGTAACATACCCTTCTGAGCAGAATCCGAGATCGATAAGCCTCCGAAATCCAACAGAGGACGCTTCAACGGCCTCTCATTAATTTCCAGCCCTACACAGCGATGCCAAAACCACATACCAAACGTTAAGCCCACCAGGGCCCAAACGATAGCAAAAAAAAAAAAAAAAAAAGGAGGAAGAGGAAGAGGGGCTTACAGAAAGCGTCAAGTGGAGATTGAAAGGGTTTGCGTTTGACCCTGACCACCACAGGCTTCGGTGGAGGCGCAGCCGAAGAGCTTTCGGCCATGTTCTCAGAGCGAGTATTCTAGAAGGGGTTCGATTGCGAATTATGGTAACGGTGTGTGGGTAACCATAGATGGAGCAGTGCTATGTGTTACTTTTGCCTTTTCAGACCAACTAGAAACTACAAAGAGATACTTCAAAGCGTTTTCATAAAAAGGATCTGAGATACTCCGATTTGAGGTACCGGAGTGACGGCAAAACGCGGAAGAGGAATGGGAGAAGACGGGGTTGCGGGTCTTAGGCAAGGAGGGTTTAGGAGCAGAGGAAAATAGGACGAAGTAAGTTATGAAAGTAACAGAATAAGAAGCAAAAAAAATATTTATTGAGTATCGATATATTAAATTTTAAAATTTTAAATTATACCATTAATTGCATAATTCAAATCATGGTGTCAAATTTTATTTTATTTTTACAATTTTACTTTTATAAATATCCTTTTACGAATTACAAAATTTTATTTTTTCTAACTGCCAGTATTTATAAATAACTATGTATTATTATATAATTTTTATTCTGCATTTTTTAAAACATAATTCACATAAATATGTAGTGTCTTTTGTGAGTATATATATATATATATATATATATATATATATATAAATAAAAGAAGAGAGAGGGAGAGAAAGAGGTTAGATATCTTTTGGTTCTTCATTTTATAACTTGTGTTAAAATTTACTGTCTTAACTAACATTCTTAACCTAATTTACCGATTATCCAACAAATATGTGAACTCATTGTTCTTATTTGCTTCAAGCAAAGAAATGTTAAACACTAGTGATACAAAAATCAAACAAGCAAGGAACCGTCGGATGAAGAGAATGGAACGTTATGATTTTTGCATTTAAAATATCATATATGGGTCTTGAACCACTTAAGCATATGTAGATCCCATGTAGAGATGCGTGATGACATGTATTTTGTTGACTAGAATAATCTTTAAATTGGATTAACGAAGTTAGCAGGAGGGAGATAAATTTTTGATGCATTTTGAGACCAAAAGTCGATGTTTTAAAATTGGAGGATGAAAAACAAACATTTACATATTTAGGAGGACGAAAAAGATGTTTAACCCATATATATGAGAAATGATCCACTTAATTCAAGAATAACTCTACTTAAATTTACTCCATTCAATAACTCATGTTTTACAACAAATTATAATAATTCAACCATTAAAATAAAGGTTCTTCATGTAAAGATTAAGTATATAAATTTTTTAAAAAATTGAATATTATTTGATACTTCATTTCATTAATTCAAATTGACGGTTAATCATAAAAATATTTTATATATTGATTTGAACTAATGAAACAAAGTATTAAACAGTTTTCAATTTTTTAAAAAACTTTGTAAACTTAATTTGTGTATTAAGAACTTTTAATTCAACAGTTAGATCATAACAATTTGATGTAAAACATGAGTCTTATTTGTAAAGTAGATCTCTCCTCTCTATATATAGGGGTGTTTAAAACCTAACCAAGTTAAATGAAAAACTACAAAATGCTATAAAAAAAACAATTGGAAATTGCAAATTAACGATTTGGTTCGATTTTTAAATTTCTAAAATTGTCTGGTTTGATTTAGTTTTCAAATTGAAATGTGAAATCGCTCAAAACCAAATCAAACATCACTTATTTGAAAATATTTTTAAATCCAAATGTATACGCATCTACAAAAAATTAGGTGTTTTATAAAATTGTAAGCTACTAAAAAGTGTTTTCTCTCAAAATATACATTGTAATATTTAAAAGGTATTTTATAAAATTGTAAGTTACTAAACTGCATTTTAGAATGAAAATTATGAATTATTTATAACATTCAAAAATAAATTTTTTAAGTCACAAACTATATATATGATAATAAAAAATTAATATGATAATTAAAATTATATTAAAAAAATTATTTTTACTAAAATAATAAAATAAGAATTGGTGTTAAATACATCAAGTGACAAAAATATTTTAGTATTTTATATTTTTAGTTTTAATTTTGACATACAGTCTTAAACAATTAAGATACTATTATATATTTTTAGTTGATTTTTAAATAAAAATTTTAAAATCGCAAAAGATTGATTTGGTTTGACTCAAATTTCATAATTCATTCAAACTAAACTAAACAAAACTGTACTTAATTTTTTTTTTATTTTGTTTGGGTGACTTTTAAGACAATAACTAAACCAAACCGCAGCACGGATACCCCTATATACATACATACACACATATCTTGAGAATGACTCAAGTAAGAACATGAAAACAACTAATAACAATCCTTAGATTAAAATAAATAGTTTAGATTAAAAAGTTATATATAAAGTTATCATGTACCACTACTATTGTAGTTTTTTCTATATTTATCGTTATTGTTGACTTTATTACATTCACTTTCAATGCACCGCTACCACATCACCACCACAACCACTAGCATTACCACTACCATCATTATTGTCGTTGTTACCATTGTTCTTACCACTACCACTATCGATGCCATTGTAGTGGTGATAGCGACAACAATAGTGGTAGTGATAATGGTAGTGATGACAACAGTGGTGGTGATGGCAACAATGGTGATGGTGGTGACTATGGTGCCACCAACAGTGGTGGTGGTGGTGGTGAAAGCAACGATAATGATAGCGATGGTGGCAATGGTGATGGTGGTGACAACGGTGGTGTAAGTAGTGGTGGAAGTGGAGGCAATGGTTGTGGAGGAAGCGACAATAACAATGGTGGTGATGTAACAATGGTACGATAGAGGTGGCGGTGGTGACAGTTCTAATAATAAGGAAGAAGACAATAATGATAGAGAGAACTACAATGATAACAATATTTAGTAAAATCTTTTAATCTAAGCCATTCATTTTAATAAAAGGGTTATTATTAGTTATTCTTATGTTCCCATATTAACAAGTGTTCTCACTTGAGTCGCCCCATATTATATATATATATATATATATATATATAAGGATGAATTTACTTATTTCAAGAAAAATTCTACCTAAAATTATTTTAAATATATTTAAAAATTATTTTAAATATATTTAAAACTTATTTTTAATATATTTATAAATAAATATATAAATATATATAATCTTATTTCAGTAAATTTATACATAAAAAATATTACAATTAAACCATGAAACATAAAACTTGACTTATGTTACCCAAATAATATAATTAACATGTTAGAGTGAAACTAAACTATCTATCTTAAATTTAGTCTATTTTTTTCAATGAAATTATGCTTATAAAATTATTAAAATGAAATAAGTTTAGTCAACTTTTTAAAAAACTAAATTAAAGTTATGTCCATTTACTATTTTAAATTTTCTTTTCTTTTGAGTTCTCTTTTAAAATCTTAAAAAATTAATGTGCATAAAATATAGCCATAAACTAGGAGTGAATATTGGTATAAAATTATTTATATCTGTAGACCCCTAAAATTGTCCGGGTCGGAAATAAAGCTTGAAGACTCTCGAAGACTGAAGAAGGATCAGCCAGAAGGACTTCCAGAAGGCCCAAGGAGGGTTCTCTATAGGTCTAAGAGGTCTTAGGATAGCTAAAAATAGAAAATAGGAGGAATTGGGACCAATACGGGCTGCTTGGGGACCAGTACGGCCTGTATTGAAGTTTTGAACTTCAATACGGCCGTACTGGACTCAATACGGCCGTATTGAAGATTTGTGAACTTCAATACGGCCGTATTGAGTTCAATACGGCCGTATTGAAGAACAAATTCTCAATACGGGCCGTATTGACCCCAGCGCCCGTATTGCTCCTATTTCCTATAAATATGGCGTCATTTGACGTCAATACACACTTTTCAACCATTTCTTGACTCTCTTATTGAGTGTTCTGGGGTTTTTGAGCAGTGCTCTGCCTTAGGAACCTCTCTG